GTGATTCCTTCCAAAATTTAGTAAAACATGCAACCTGAAGCCACCGTCTGTCTTATAATCCACTTGTCTTTTCTTCAAATACATCTTTCTTTAAGTCTGGTCAAAAGGAAATACAAATAGAACTGATGTGATGTGTATAGCTGTGTATTTCTTTGAATCATGGCCCTAATACTGGAAATCAAATGACAAGTTTTCTAATCCTACCTCCCCTCACCTCTGAGTCTGTTCGCAACCACACAATCCTCTTGTATAACTCCAGGATCTCATTTAGTTGTGCATTTGATGGCTTCTTCAGACAGGGTCACACTGCTCTTTTACAAAAACACACCCATGTTCCCTCCTCTTCATCTCTCCACCACTGCAAAATATGAGGCCTGTTATGGGGTAAAATTATTCAAATGTGGTGATCTTAATTTTAGTTCAACATGGGCATAATAAGCTATAGATTTATTGACCTGGTTGGATTACTTTGTTAATTAAGTGCCAATGTTGTAAGAAAATGGCAGCTGAAATTTCTGACCCTCCTGGCAAATACATTTTCTTATTTCAAGTAAAATTACCTTTAAATCAGTTAAACACGAAGACGTTTAAAAAATCTAAAACCTACTCAATCTAAACATAAGCTCATCTGAACAATTAAGTGAATGCACGTCTTTTTTTTTTACAGTGTTTCCTCCCTTCTTTCCTCATCTACTCATGTTTCCATGGACGCAGTTTCCTCCTCTGCTGCCATGACGACAGTGGTCTCTTTGGTTGCCCCTGACAACGACGCAGGCAGCTCCTTGGAGAACGGAGATGGCCTGAACGCTAACTCAAAAAAATCTGGATTTTTCGGAAGTCATTACAAATCAAGAAGAGAGTAGAAGAAAAAGAGAGCAGAAGAAAAAAAAACTATAATTTGTACAGTTCTAGTTGTGACTGCCAAGCTACCTGCAGTGACGAGCACCTGTCAGACAGAAACGTTCAATAATACTACTGGATTTGAACAGCACAGGAACACTCTGGGGGTTGACATTTTAAGACAGAACCGTGTGTGTATTTGTATAAATAATAACATTTAACTGACATTTTCTAAACCCTGTAACTACTTGAGCAGCAGAAAATAAAACAAACACTTCCATTGCCTTCTGATTTCATTAATTACACTGGTTAATGGACAAATCAAGTCCAAGCTCTGATATTAAAGAAGTGATTGATACATTAAACAGAATAATGATTAGTGATGTCCCAGTCCAGACTTTTTGGTTCCTGATCTGATCCTTGTCTGAATGAATGCAATGACTGACACTGAATGAGACTATAGTTTAACTTATTGATTGACTGGAAGAATTAATTAATTAATATACACTGTATTTTATTCATATGCACACTGTTTATCACACCCACGTATCCATGGACTGAAGGTGGAAATTAACCCTTTTTTTTAGAACCTGGTACAATCAGATTTCCTCTTTGTGTAGGTCAATGTTTTTATGTGCATTGTCCTCGATAAATAACCACATACACTAAACTATAGATTTTTAAATGGTGGCAATGGCTGATACTGATACCAATCTATACCCCTATACTGATCGTCTCATTTTTTAAAGAGAAGTTTAGGCTGTTGTGCCTAAAAATGCTCAGTTTATATATCTTTTCTTTAATTGTGTTTTTAGCTGCATTAGAGCCTCCTCAGTCAGCAGCAAGAAGCAAATTTACCTTCAAGTTTTTTTGATTTTTGAAAATGCCTTTGTGACATTTTTTAACCCCATTGTGCAATCATCAAGTATAAACAGAGACATGGGCGAAGAAAGAGGGTTGATGAAAATAGATTTAATATTTTTCATGCTATTTCATGCTGTTAAATTGATTTTGTGGTGGCACTACTGAGCCATCTTTCAACATTTTGTTTTGAGACCTTCTTTCAAAAAGTTTTTTACTTGTTTACTATTTGATTGTTGCATTTTACAGGGATCCAGACAGAATTTTTAAAAAAATCTCTGCTGTCTTTAAGTTAAATCTAAAATCCATAATAGTAATTGATGAGAGAGGTTATACTGTATACTGTATTTTTGGTGGAATTTGTCCAGCATAGTATTATATTAGAGAAATGTTTATTGTTTAGATGCTAGCCTTTATGAATAAAATATGTATATTATAAAATATGTCCTATTAGTTATTCATATATTTTCAAAATTTTATTAGCATTGCTTTTATAGCCCTTTACAGAACACAGACCATCAACAACAGCTCTCAAGGCAGTCTTCAACAGACATCCATAATCACAATGGGCCTCATTCTTGAAACCTTCTTATGCACAAATTTGTACTTAAGGTCTTCTTACAAACATTTTTGGCATTCACAAAACTTTTTCTTAACTGATAATTATCTTCTGCAAGAACAAATCCTACAAACAGTCAGGAACAAGAATAAGAACAAAAATTCTACTGTTTTAGAATATTATTACTCTGATAATGCAACAAAAAATTCTAATTCTTCCATGATTGTAAGTTATATATTTTCTTAAATTATTTCCTAAAAACATATTACAATGTGATCCAATAACATTTATGAGGAGTTTTATAAAGATGTATCTATTGTGTCTACACTGTTACAACCTTGTGCCTGGGCACCACACTGGACTCAACATCCCCATCACCCCCCATCACCAGCGCGCACTTTTATACACCCCTACCCCAGCCCCCCTCCCTTGCTATTTACCGCAGGTCCATGATCGCAAAAAGCATGATAAATACGAAAGATTTATGAAAAGCTGATGACATTCTCCTGTGAGTTTGGACATTTGAAGTTGCCACTGAAGCTGTAACTGAGGTACGTTCCTCGTTCACTCTCCTCCTTGCGTTTCCACATGTCATAATGCCAAACCCATATTGGCCATATTTGGAAGTTCAGAGGGCATTTCTAACCAAATACATATTAATTTTCTATGTAAATGAAATATAAATGAGCGTGAAGTGGAAGTTACTAACATTTTTAAGAAAAGATTTATGAATGAGGCCCATTGTAACATGATCTCCATATAAGCAGAAATTCTCGATTCTGTGAGATCATAATAATAATAAGTCTATCCCTACATCTGTACAACAACACTAAATTAACTGAGTAGTCTTATGTTAACAAAAGCCAATCATTTTATGGTCCTTAACAAAAACTGTGTAATACAATGGAATAAATTAATCCAAGAAAATGAGAAATCAAGCTGATGTGTTACATAAGCTACATAAAAAAACAATGCTCTGCTTTGGTCTTGTATAATCACACAGAGAAGAGAGAGCTCTGCTGAACACTGCAGGTAAAATGGAGCATGACTAAGCCTAATTATCCATCAGATCCATTGGAGACGCTCACTGTTGTGTAATGGCCATGCAGATATCCATGGTAACCACATTAACAAGTGAAGACCAACAGCAATGATATGATGTAGCCTGTTGCATAAGAAAATAAAACCTTGATATTATTGCCTTGACTGATTTAGGAATAGATTTATTACGACAACAAAATATCCGTTCTTGTTATGTAAACCCTAACATCTGCTAACGTCTGTAGAAGGTGTTGAAATGTTTTGAATCAAAGCGCATTTACTAATTTGGCAATTGGCGGCTCGTATCCTGCTCCAGTTCTAACAGATGAATGTTGTCCTGAGGCAAGACACTTAACCCCCCTCGTCCCCAGTGTCTGCGTACACTGGAATGTGAATGTGTGTGTGAATGGGTGAGTGTTCCTTGACGTAAAGAGTGAGTGCTTTGAAATGTGGAAAAGCGCTATACAAATGATCACTTACCATTTACAAACATTGTTTCCCATAGAGAATTTATGGTGGTACTTTATTCTTTACCGGACTATAAGTTGCACTTTTTTTCATGGTTTGGGTGGACCTGCAACATATATATAAAAATTTTCACACTGAAGGCGTAAGAGGGCACTCTGCGCTTGTATGTCAGTATCCGTTACTCCTATTACTCCTGTACCACTGTCACTGCGCATGTCTCCTGCTGAAAGAGCCGCTGTCCTGTCTGGTATCATGTCAGTCGAATGCACCATTACTTTTCTGTAACACTGAAGACTGAACACAAATGCGCCTAAAAAGAAAATCGTATTTTGCAGATTACAAGCTGCAAGTAGTGAAATATGCATCTGAAAATGGTAATCGAGCAGCAGGAAAAAGTATGTGTGAGCAAGAAACTTGTGACATTCGGGAAGATGCACCATGCAAATTTCCTGGAAGTTATTGGATGGATCAACAAAGCCTGGACTTCAGGGACAACAAAAACCATCCTGTCGGGATTCAGAAAGGCCGGAATAATTCTAAAGGGAACTGATGCTGAGTCTGATGACAGCTACACAGAAGACAAAGCGACGCCCTGTTTACCTCCGGAGGTCGCAGAGTTGTTCAGAAGTGACACAGAGGATGAAGAATTCAATTTAGTGATTTGGAGTGAGATGGAGAGTTTGTTAAACTTGTTCTGTTCTGTTGTTTATGCTATGGTTATCTGAAGAACAGTTCATATGTGACATTAGCAGCCTGTTGTTCTCTGTTCTACTGTTATTCCTATAACTAGCCTTTCAAGATGAAACGTCAGTTCCTAGTTTCTGAATTTATAAAATAAATTTCCCCCAAAAAGTGCAACTTATAGTCCAGTGCGACTTATATATGTTTTTTCTTCTTTACGCATTTTTTGGCTGGTGTGATATACAGTATTTTTATTTGAATTATTTTATCTCATTTAATTTGTGGAGCATAAATGTCAGTTACTGTATCTTTACACTGATTTTTGACCAATGTTTGTCATAAAATGCAACAAAGTCTAATGTTGTTAAGTTTACTATATTGTCAAGGTTATTTTAGGCTATAGGGGAGCATTTTAGACTTTGTATTAATGGGAAACAGTGTACAACCATGTTATTAGTATTAGAGTCATGTAACGATACTGTACGTTCAGTGAGTGGTCAGTGTCAAGCATAAATCGATCACAACTTTTCCCATAATTGTCTGCATTTACCTTGAGTCTCTCGGAAACCCCGTCGGTGATGCTGATGGTGAACTCCTCCACCTTCGGCACTTTCAGCCTCTTCTTCTCCGTCTGGAACTCTGTGCGCGTCTTCACCACCACCTGGACAACAAAACGTATGACTATTACTATTGTGTTTACAACCAGGAAATCTATAAAAGCATTTTTTTCATAGCTCTGGAATGTAACCTCCAGTCGTCTCCCTTTTTGTTCAAGAATAAAAAAATCCCAGAAGAAAAATCACATACAGCAGACGAAACAACTCTGTCAAAAGTCACAGAATAAAGGCAAGATTTGAAACACTCTAGGAGCTGTTCAGACCTGCTGATGTGAAAAGTACTTGAAAACATAAGACAAGACCTCTTCAGATGTCCTGAAAGAACCGTTGGAAAATTCAACAGTGTTACATTATTCAGTGCTTTCATAGTGGCTGCTTATCTCTGCAACTTGGATTTTTGTATTTATCTTTACAGCCACAAACAAAATCTCAATTCAACTAGCTTCAATAGAATGAAAAAAAACGACTAGCTACAACCATCCAGGAACATATGATATAGATTAAAGGTGCATTGTGTAACTTTTCTGGTGGAGGCTTTTCTCCGTGGAGATGTTACTGCTTTGTCTGGAATTTTTCACAGTATGGTGTTAAACCTTTCTATCTTCATGGAGACCAAACCTGACCTAGTTACAGGCCAGATCTGTGGAGAGGCGACCGCGCTCACAGTAAGAAGCCTGTTTTTCTAGATATTTCTGAGCTTTAAAACCACCTGTAATTGAATAAATGTGAGGTAGAGCTGTTTAATGTCATACTGTGGAACATTACAAATGAAAAGAAATGATAGATCCATAGAAACAAGCAACTGACAGAAAAGTTACACAATGCTAGCCAGGCTGGCGCCACCTAGTGCCTCTGCTCAATTTCATTTCTTTCCAGCGACTAGGTCAGGAATCAGAATACTCTTGGCCCTCAGACTTCCAGGTGAATTGGCCCAAATTACCTTGTATCAATTTAAAAATAATATTTTTTTTCTGCAAGTTTTTTGAAAATCTACCTTGATAAAGCAAATATTTAATATTTAGTGTGCGGTTTTAGGATCTTAACATGAATAAAGTCTGATGGCTCATTCTAACATGTTAAACATGTGCATGTGCACCAGTCTACAGCTCTTGATGAGCCCTCTGCTTCGTCTCTGTTTAGATATGTGGCCCTTAATGAAAAAAGTTTGGAACCCCTGCACTAGACGGTTCGCAAAAACCCCAGAAGTGCAAGTTCGGGCACCAGCCAATCAGCGAAGAGTCATACATTCAGTGTTGTCAATGATTCCCAAGATCGAGGATTTAAAGCCAGAATGAAGAGAATATTTGGTGAATTTCAAGATGTTACTGCCCTTCTTCCTACGTTATTTGGGAAAAGCTTAATATACCAGTTAGCCCTGTTAGCAGTGCATTACATACGTCACGACCAAATAGCAGCAACTAGTTAAATGAAAAAAAGTAACCGTCTACTGTTGAGTGAACGAATTCTAACACTGACTCAGGCTAACACAATGCACTTTTAAGCTGGAAAACAACTTAAAAAGATAGTGCCATGCTACTTTTGACCCCAAAGCGTAAAAAGACACTTCTATTTAATTCTGGGCGTTCAAATCGGCTTGGGTTTGGGATTTTGGCTGCTCTGCCCCAAAACTGTCAGTCCAGCTCCACTCAGGCAAACAGGTTCTCAACTGCCGTCTAAAACATGCGCTCTGCCCACTGGGAGAAACAGTAAGTTCAACCCGTACAAATAAAGTACAGTTGTCCGCTTGATTTTAACTTCAGGGAAAAGTAGATGTGTAGATTGCCGTCTTGCCAAGGAAGTTGTGTGTTCAATGCCTGGTCTGTGGAGAACTAAAAAGAATGTATACTGTATAATATACTGAAAGTCTGTATATCGTGTACTAAAAGGAGTCATGCAGTCTGAATCAAGCTTAAAAACAATGCACAAAATTGTAAAAGTTGGTCAACTACAACGTAAGACTAAGAGTTGGTGAAGGAGTATGAACTTTAAAAACACAGAGGAGCTTCCTTGATCATGTCAACCAGCGTATTACGACAGATATGTTAGGATTAGGGCCGAATATCATTAAGAAGATGCCGAAATGATACATACCTCGATACATAGGCCACAATACGATACGCTTTTTGATACAGTGCGCTTTCGATTCAATACGATTCCATACGATATATTTCAAATCGATTTGATACAGTTCAGTGAAAAACAAAGCCAAACTCATGGCTCTTATACTAAAAGTCCACTACGTTTGTGCAAAGTTAATATGAAAAAAAACCACACCCATTTTACTCAAAACAGTGAAAATGTCAAGACAAGTGTAGCTTTTACACAAAATAATTTAGTAAAATATATCTAAAAATACTCTTGGTGATATATCGATACAGCAGCAGACGATATCGATACTGTTTCATCAAATTAAACAACACGATATATCAATATTTCAATATTATTGCACACCCCTAGTTAGGATAGACACTAGAAAAACACTAGAAGCGCTATAACTCAAAATCCAACTGGAGGACAGGTCAAAATTCAGTGGTGTAATTTGCAAATTTGTTGACCTGATTTATGGTTAATATGTCTGAAATTACTGGACCTAACCACAAAAAAATAAATAAATAAATACAAAAAATGAAACAAAAACTGGCTTAAAGTTCAATGTCTTTTCTGGCAGTATAGAAAGAAAACTTTGAATAATAGTTTCAACATTTGTGTATCATAAGTTTGGATTTTTCTTGTGTTGTGAGTTGTGTTTTGTTTTACTCACACATGTTCAACACACAATATTCAAGGTTCAACACTGCATATTTAGACTGAGTTCTTCCCTCAAACATAAAACTCTGTTCCACCTTGTGACGTCATGTAATACAGAAAGCACTGCATTTTTAAACTCCATACACCTTCACTAGATTTGGATAATTTCAGCACTGGAATTGTCAAAAAGCAGAAAACAGACAAGTGTGACAGAAACAAAACACAACTCCAGTTCTGTTTTTGATGAGTGGGCCTGTAACAATAACAGATTTAGCTGGACGATTAATTGACCAAGAATTTATTGCATTTTCAATTAATATAATGACAATGGAATAAAAATGCAAATACACCATTTCAAAGATCAATAACTATGCGGTTACTTTTGTCTCATTAATATTAACTCAGACAGATCCACAAATACAGACACGTACTTGACCAGCAGGGGGCAGCAGCTGGCACACGAAACGTTTGACACTAGTCCTAGTTCAGTCCTGGTTCAGTTCTGGTTTAGTCCTTCGCTGTTGAGGCGTTTGATAATAGTAAACATTAGCCTAAGTGACGTGAAGTTAGCAAGAGACTCTTCCATTTCGGCAGTGTCAAATGTTTCGTGTGCCAGCTGCTGCCCCCTGCTGGTCAAGTACGTGTCTGTATTTGTGGATCTGTCTGAGTTTGTGGATTTCTCAAAGTGAGTGTCTCAAAATTGCGTCATACCGGAAATCAGTGGATTCGTGTAACTGGTGATCCACAAATGCAAATCACATTTTACAAACAGAATTTTCTGTTTTACAAATGAAATTATTTTTTGCAATAGAAAAAATATAAATTTACAAATACATTTCTATTTGTAAATACCAAAATGCAAGTTACAAATATTAAATTTGCAACTGTGGATATCAAAACACATGTACAAATCATTTGTATTGTATATCGTACTATTTGTAGATCACCATCTGTGTATTTGTGAATATTAATGAGACAAAAGTAGCCCCATAAATAAACCTTACTTTCTAAAGAACATTTAACACAGGAACTGCACAAGAACTAAAAACAACAGGCCTAAATAAAATAGACTTGTTCACATAAGAATAGCCTAATGTAGTCTGGCTTACAGCAAGGACTTGGACAAGGAGCGGGCGAGGGGCTGTGCTCTGCATTCGGGCATCCAGACGACTCCCGCACAGCACATGAACGTGTTATGAATGTTAAGCATTTATCATCCTAATATATTTCTAACTAAAAGAAGCCTTGAGCATGTTACGAGTTGTTTTTCAGTGGACTCGTTTGATATTTATTTTTAAGATTCTGGCAATTCACTGAACGCGCCACACCACGCCCTCAGTCTGCTCCACTCCACCTGATGTTCAGGCACGGAACACCTCCTGCTTAGAACTCCATGCCCCACACTTGCTCTAAGTGCTAAGACTGCGGGCAAGATCGGGCCCTCAGTCTCTTTGATAGAGAGCGAGAGAGAGAATTTATCGCGGCCAGAACAGTTATCAAGTTTGTTAAAAGTTATACGATTAATTGACTATCGTTACAGGCCTATTGATGAGGTAACAACATCTAATAGGCTGTGTTTAAAATGCTTCACCAGGAAATGCCGATTTTGTACTTTTTCTAAATCTGATGCAAGCCACAGAAAGACAAAGGTTTCCCTCTTCCCTCCAGAATAAATTGGGGATAATTACTCAAACACGAGATCCATGCTAATTATTATATGGGTCAACACTTCACCGAAAAGGTACAGCCAGAACTGCGCATTAATTTCTCATTTGTCTTTCCTTTTGTTCCGCACACTTAACGCACAAGAGAAAATTAGCTTCAACAATTTATCACTACTTGACAAAAGAAGAAAAAAAAAAAGTATTGATATTATTGTAGATGTGCATGGAGGTGCGGAGAGAAAACTAGCAAATCGCATTAGAACTTAACAATGTGTGTCCTTGCGAGGAGGACTGGAAAGCTTGTGTTTACAGACAAAAGGAGACATATTCTTGCTAATAAAGATGTGGTTTTATATTGAATAGTCCATGATCGGAGCTGAAGGCCACAGGGGTGTACTGTTTGATTGGGCCCGTGGGAGCTGGAGTTTGGAGCCTGTGACTGATGCTTCAATTCAGTGTGGACTTCCTGCTCACGAAGTCATTCCCCAGGTCTGCCTATGTGTCTTCATTACTGCTGCACGGTCCATGAGAAACTTGCAGCGCTCGCAATTGAATCTAAATCGTACTTTGAGTTGGTTCAGTTATCAAATTCTCTATCTATCTAGCTATCAAAATGTTCTCTGCTAAAAACA